AATATACAGACAATTCTGTTTTAAGTCGAGAGAGAAAAAAAATTATTCGTCGAACGTTTAGACTTTCATTATTCCTTCGCTGCTAGTTTAAACACGCAACCAACTCCAAATTTATTTGTTAGAAGTCGTTAGCGGGTAGATTCTGTGAAACTCGCGAATTTTTTTCGATTCGAAGGTTCTGGAATAAGTACTGAGCGGTCAAGGTTTGTCACCATCCCCACTTCGTGGCCAGATCTTCTTTTCATTAGAACATTTTCGTTTTCTTTTGCTGGAACTTTCCAAATTTATTGGGTTTATAAACCAAAGCTTTGGTCGACCTGGAGCTACTTCAGGCAATCTTGAAATCGCCTCAAAAAGCGAACACACTGTTCTTCTCCGTATCATATTCCGTAACTACTCGAAACGCAATGATCGCAACTGATTGCTCGGAAACGAGCTTCGACTCGTCTCGCTGCCACGACAATGGTCGAAGGTTGCGTTCAATTACGAGATCGGCATCTGTTGATTTCGATCGGCTCGTGCCTTATCTCCGTCTACGGCGGAGAAACATCCCCGCGAAATCGGCCCGGGCAACAGATGTTCGATGAATCGCGTTCGCGTACACACGGTGGGCCTCCCCCTGATTCGGTACGAACGTTTACACAGATTTGTTTGACGTCCCGACCGTCTCCATTGTCTCCATTGTTTCCGCGCCTCATAACAGATTACGTAATTTTGAATTTCTCCGCGACACGGCCGGTCAAAGAAAAAACGGGGATTCAGCCTCCGGGCACAGTCGACCGTGAAATTATGCCGAGCGAATCACTCGATGCACGAAATCTCCATTTAATAATTATTTAATTTCCATTTAAATAATTTCTCGGGAACTTTCGGCAATTTTCGCGAGAATGGATGCAATCGTTTCAACCCTCAATTTATTTTTATTGCTTCATCCAACCTTGTAAATTTTCTATGATTTTTGGAGTATTTCCGATTAAATTCAATTTAAAAGAAAGAGAAGATTTTTAAGTTCAATTTAATTTTTATAACATCATGAAAGGATGATTGTAAGTCAGTTTGATAGTAATACGAGACTATAGATCTTTGAGAGACTATAATTAAATTTTATGATTAAAGATTAAATGATAATTTACCTTAATATTACAAATGCTTCAACATCTTAGAATTCCATAAAATTATAGAATCTAGAAAGATGAAAAAATACTAAATTTCTTGGAATTTCTCCTTTCGTAACTCCAAAATATTGGAGAATAGAATTTGACTGAATCAAATGATTTTCAATTGGTTAAATACAATCCTCGTGATAAAATTATTATAATTACTAAAATATACAGAATGTGACACGTATTATCTCTTTTTTTTTCTTCTTCTTTTCAACAAGCATGACCGTAACAGAAGTGATGAAAGCCGTTACGACTTTACGCAAAAAAGTCAATACGTAAAGTTCGGAAAATAGAGGAAACAGAGAAACAAGTCACGCAAACGTCTCACGCGTTTATTTTCGAAAACACGGGTCAAAAGTTGGCGCTGGTATCTCGGGGATCTTTGGCACGAAGGGCACGGAATAAATTGTCGAATAATTCCCTTCGGCGCGGAAGGGTCGTGGTCCGCGCGAACGATTCATTGGCTTTATGCACGCGAGAGCATAAACATGTCGTTGGTTCATTTATTTATCGAATTGTCTTAACCCCTGTGTACGGTTTGGCGAAAGCGCGTGACTTTGTAAGCAAACGAGTTATAAATTCGTCGAGAGATTTGAAAAAAAAAAAAAAATGAAGTCTGACCGTGAGGTGATCCGTCGGGAGATTTGATGAATTTACGTGTTTCACCTCACCGTGTTTCTGAATTTCAACACTTTATAAAATAGAATGATCCTTTCTTTTCTAGTTCGTGGTGGCCATTAATAATTTATTTTTCAAGTATTTAATTTAGTTTGGTTTGTGATTATTCTTCAAAGTAAAAGTTTAATAATTGTCCTATATTTATAATGCTACAAGGTGCAAGCAAAACATAATTTTAAATTCTATATCATAAGAAGAAATGAAAATAAAAATTTTCATAGTAAAATAGAAAGTTAAATGTACGAGAAATATTTTTCCAGGAATCTACTATATACTGTATAAATTCAGCAAGTTAAGTTTATTGAAATGTACAAAATATCTACGATAAAATATTTACTCCAATATTTATTGGGTGAAACGAGCCTTCATTTAGATTTATGATCACGAATCAGAAATTGTGATGTCAGAACTACCCGCAGTCCATTTACAATAGACACAGTTGTCAGGTATCTCAAATATTTCGTGACCCCGATAGATAATTTCATTTTCTTAGATATCAGTCGGACTGCTAAAAAAAAAAGAGAGAGAAAAATAAAAATTATGGCGCGAATTTCCGGCTAGAGAAGTTCTCCCTTAACTTACGGTCTTAAGTCGTTGCTCGCTATCTGCGAACGGAAACCTTGGCCAGAAATTCCAGGCTTAAGCCGATAATTTATCCCAGCCACCCACGCACTTGTCTTATACGCGTGCCACCGTGCAGGAGCGGTGTCCGCCAGCGACGCACGGAAAAAAAGAGACGAAGAAAGGTGTACTAGGTGAAGGAAAGTGATGGGAAAAAGGGAGCAGGATCGGTAGCTCTTGCCGATATCCTTTACGATCTTGTTTTCTAAGTGGAATCATCTGTTTCATAGCCATTATCTTTGCTTACAAAATTTGTTTGACAGGGATTGGAATTTTTAAAGAATTGTTTGGAGCAATTTAATTCAAAGAATTTCCTGAGAATCTCGGACAGAAATTGAAAAGGAATTTAAAAAAAATTCTTCAATTGTCAGAAGTTACTTGAACTATTAAAATATTACCTGGATCGCAGATAATTTGAAAAGAAATTTTGAATAAATGAACATTAGAGTTTCAGTGTTCACTGGACTCGGTTTTCTTTTCTCCATTTTCAGAGAATTCATGCCTTTAGCTTCAGGAAAGAATGGTTGGCTCGCGGAAAGAAATAAAGAAGGATGTAAAGAGATAAGAGGGAAGAGACACGGTGTAACGACCGATAAATCGGGGATTACCGGTTGCGTTTTGAGATGTCGCGTGGGCGATGGGATAAATTCCGGCCTTAATCGGACCGTTGCCATTGCTGGAATTAATAATTTTGTTCGGTTATGCTGCAATATCACGGGAATGTGAATGAAAACGAGGGAATCGTTCCCTGGGAGGAGGGGGGAGGAGAGACCCGTTCACAGAAACGTGAGACAAGTTACGAGTTACCTGGAGGAGAGGTTTTATAGAATCGCGATAAAATGACAATGATTCCGAGTGTTTATACCGGGACGATCGACACCAACGTGTCCAAATTAATAACGATTAATTAAGCGTGCGATCGATTAAATCGAGTGTTTTACGTGGACGTAGT